GCAGGTGCTGATTTGCTGGTTGCAGTCAGGGAAACAGGCATTGCTTTTGCGGTTGGCCGGGGCTCGCCAGTGATGGCGGCCCGGCTCTCACCTCCATCCGCTGGAGCAGCCTCAGGTAGGCCAACGGCACTTACCCTGGTCCAGAGTGTGGACTGGCCTTCGGTGTTTTCGACGGAGACAATGTATTCTGGAGGTACCGTGTCTACCGTCATGATCCCACCGGAGCGGTTCTGGAAAAAGATGAGACCGCCATCGACTGCTTCCCGAAGTGCAACGGTAAGCTGAATGGGGTGCTTACCGCGGAGACCGCTTTGATAGTCGGTCTCCGTAATGCGACTTGCAGCCAGGTAAACATGGGCTCGATCACTGCCAACAAACTCGCCCCCGCCTGGGATAAGGCCTTCCTTGACGATCCGCTTCCAGCACGCTGGCCTCGTGCGGTGGTAAGCCAAGACAGGGATCTCATCCGCTTTGGCAATGGGCTTCCCAATGAAGGGAGCTTTGGCTTCTGGCCTGAGCGCAGGACTGCAGTACATCAAGGCTGCCGATCTGTAGTTGTCCTGTGCGCTCTTGATCGCGTGCTTGCTTTGGCCAGCAGCGGCACGCATCTTTAGAGGCCATAGTGCCACGCCCTTCTCCTCGAGTTTGTGCCCTCCTCGAATGCCCAAAAACTCGAATTGGTTTTTCTTGTCCTTTGCTGCTATGGCGATCAAGTCTTTGACGGTGAGCGGCGGGGCACTGCGGTGATTCAGGCCGAAACACCTGCCGATAGGATCCAAAGTTGCTCTAAGGACAACTTTGCCAACAAACGACAACTTTGGTACAAGACGATGTCGTTTGTAGCAAAAGCAATAGAAGTCACATGCTGGCTGCCACACTTGTCTCTGTACAAAGCTTTACATGATCCATTCATGTGCGTGGATATAGTTTTACATTTCACTTTTGTGTGGCGATCACTCGAAGACTTTCACTTTTGTGTGGTGATCACTCGAAGTCTTCACTTTTGTGTGGTGATCACTCGAAGACTTTCATTTTTGTGTGGTGATCACTCGAAGTATTCACTTTTGTGTTGTGATCACTCAAAGTCTTCACTTTTGGCCGGATTTTGTTTACATTTGTGATGTGTGTGTGTGTGCCTATTAAAATAAATAAGGCAAACGAGATCGTTTTGGGGACCAACGCACGACATCGTCCCCCGCTGTCGTTTGCATCACCAACGACATCGTCCACCGCTGTCGTTTGCAGCAGAGAACATAAGAGTTCAAACTTGCACATGTGAGGTACCATCAGCTTCGCTACCAATAACTTTCATAGCTCGAGCGGTGGGGAAGATCACAAAACTTCACACCAAACTTGGCGCAGAGAGGGTTCGGCGCACGCAGCCGTTCGTGTTGTGGAGTTTACGGCGTTCATGTTTCGGGGTATACCACGTGCCTCAACTAGAGCCAACAAACTAAACACACATTTAGGGTCCACACATGGTCCACACTTACCCTACAAAAACAGCACACACACACACACGCAGAGATGTCTGGCGTTCATGACCTCTTCTCTCGGCGTTGCGCATGGATGGGGCAGCGCCTTTTCACAAGAGGCTCACAACCTGTTGGTCGTCTTGTTGGTTTTCGTGCCGGTAGCGTTTCACGCTTCGGCGGGTGTGTTCAAACCTTTGACCAAGACCGAGTAGGAGTCGTTGGTAGACTCGAAGTAAAGCACTTCCAGCATGACACTTTACAGCTATGTGCTTTATTGCACCTAGATAGGATTCATCCTGAAAACAACTAAGCCTTCGTGGATTGAGCCTATTCCTTCGGATGGCCTCTGCCACGTGTTCAACATAATGATGCTTGGGCCTGAAAGCCCACCGCTTCACGGCGGCCTTCACACAAGCGTTTCTCATAGCGTGCCAATTTTGTAGGCACTCCATCAAACGATCAGCCGTATCATTGGCCTGCTCCTCCGACATGACCAGGCCAGCTTCATCCATCGTTTGGATGGCGGAGATGAGGGCCCATCCACAGGAGGCGCCACACTCAAGCACTGGGTCCTTGGGCAGACCACATGCAGGTTTCAAAGTGGGAAGCGAGAGTGAACCTTTTCTTTAAATTGATATTCACAAGACCCCGTACTCACAGAAATTGAGACGACTTTAAATAGAGTAAAGCAGTACTCGGCAATGTCTAGACACAGGGTTTTCTTGAGCAAGCTCGCAGGCCTTTTTTTGCAACGTACCACATGACCAGTTTCACATGGGTAGCCTTCCATGCTGACCCCAACTCCGGGTACTTATTCTCACCGAGGCCTGTATTCGAAGGTGTAAAGCTAAGTCTTCGAACGGAAATCCTCGCATGATACCCATTGAACCCTTGGGCTCAAACACGTTTTATTCGTTCGTTTTTCATTGCAAAAAGGTTAAGAAAAGCTAGCCTTGAATGGGGGGGCAAGTCGGAATAGTTCTACTGAAAAAGTACCAAGTTACTTCATGCGTTTGAACTCGTTGTTCATCTCTATGCTGAACGATCGGAGGTTTTCTTCCAGTGACCCCTCCCCAAGTAAACCAAGGTCTTCGAAGTCTGCCAGGAGGTTCGACACAATGTCGCGCCCAATACCCAAGTAGACGCAATGCATCCAATCCCGAAAGACACTACGGAGCGACCACCCAGGCATGATTGCCCACGGCGACACAGGGTCGGATGTGTTCAAATACGTTTCCTGTGTGATGTATGTCATGTAGCGCGGGGAAGCAGGCCTGAAGTCGAAGTACCAAAGGTGTTTGGTGGGTTGGGTTCTGGCTCATGCACTGCTCACACAAAAACTTGCATTGATACCACCTGGAGAACATGTTCATCTGGACCCTTGCTTTTGCATCGGCCCGGCATCCAAAATACGCCAGCCTCCCAAGGTTGGCATATAGCTACACTAGCGAGACTGCTTGAGGGCTCTATTCAATACAAAACCTTTGGACCGCTATGGGCCTCCATCCTGAAAAAGACAACGCAGTTCCAGCAAGTCTGGACCGCAATGAATCAGCCAAGACCTCACCCTCGAACCCGCGATCCGGCCATACCCCTTGCAAGGCGCATTCCATAGACCACGACATGAGCTTCGCCACTCGCTCATGAACTTGCCGTTGAACCTGTATCGGTCTTGGATGGGATTGCGGAACGAGAGTTCGATTCACTGACTTGAAATGGTTGAGTACACGTTCCAGAGCAATTGATGAAATCAGTTTTCACTCGTGTTGGGCCGAGTAGCTGCTGGTGTCCTCATGCATTCATGGGGGATGATGCACACAGGAAACTTGACTTCCATCACCTCAGATGGAAAATGGTGTGGCCAATGAACTCCTGGCAAACTGCCAACAACCATACAAATACAAACCAAGGGAATTGATTTTCAGTAAGTGACATCTCCAGACGATAGCAAGCTTCCAAAGCTCCAGACCATGTACTCACTATTCCGGAAGAATTCCGCTCCATCACAGTGGAAGGTTACAGGGATAAATCCTCAGATGTTTGGTTTCGGTAGCGGTTGCAATTGTCCCCAATCATGAACATGTTTTTACGATGGAAGCAAAACTGCTTTGTGGGTTGGGCAATCCTTGGAGTCTGCACCCTGCTGACAAAATTAGACTTTGAATACCTTGGTGGAAGTACGGCACTAAGATCGGCTCTCCCTAGGTCATGATCTTGATGGAATAGCGGATGATCGGCCCACTCCTCAAAGTCAGAGCAATGCCTCCACAGGCTTGCAATGTCAGAGCGTTGCCAATCGCCCAGCATAGACTTCTGAAACTGGCAGGGAAACCGGACAAGAGAGCATGTTTCCGAAAGGTTCAACGCGTGTTTTAATGTCAGACCTTCAGAGTCAGAGCATGTTTGCAACAAATCTCCTGTTCTTCACCTGCATTGCCCAAAGCAAAGAAGATCTCGTGAGGTAGCAAACATGGAACAGCAACTTCTTCAATCTCCGTCGAATCTACAACCTGGTTGGCTGCAAATGGTACGGTTTCAATAAAAATAGACAATTGGAAAAGAGTACATAAACCACTTTCGTTTCTTTTTGCATTGTGGAGGAACATGAAGCCGCAAATGGACATAGGAAATTTCCAATGAGATACCGTATAGATTTTTCAACCATCGGTGTAGGTCACGCTCTTCGTTTGCCGGACAAGCGCCAAACGATCCGAGGCTTGCGAAGAGCCTCACCCCCGGCGATGGTTCGCCATCCTGCAGGGCTGCCTGAGCTAACCCAGCCACTGTTCGGACATGCACTTGGCCACTTCCAATGAGTCCTCAGACGGGGGCGTGAGAGGACGACGGGAATCACATAGATTTCAAGAGAAGTTGCCATCTTGACTGGAACGCTCATGCATTCAAGCGAAACATAAGCGTTTGCAAAAACAAGACACTGATGTATTCCTCTGCTTGGTGACTTTCTGGAAGGCTTTCGAAAGATACACTTCTCTCTCTAACTCCTGACCTAACGAAATGAGGTTGGAAGACTTGAAGATCTCTCCATGGATTGGGCACGGGCGCCTGGCCTAACTGGACAGGAAGGGGCTGATCTGGTAGGATCATCGCCGCCTGCACGGTGGCATTCATCAGGTGTTAGTGGAAAGTATGCGAGATGACATTGGTCATAGAAGCTTTGAAACCTTTCCACCATTAGTGATAGAAAATCAGTGGGCAGCTTGATTGGCACCCTTTTTTGGTGACTGTGCTTTAAGAATCAAAGCCGAAGCACGGGCAAGGCAATATTTTCAGCGATCGCGAGAAGTGGTCTTGTAAACCCTACGAATGCGAATGCTTCGCATCTTCAAAAGCCAGTGCGACAGACAAACATCGCCAGTCCCCAAAATGGGCCATTGACAAACATAGTTGCGTAGACGTTTGATACAAGACGTTTGAACAAACACAATTCATAAAAGACGTTTGAACTTGCTCTCCAAAGGCCATCCCCTACGGGACTGTTTGATGCTGTTTTCTAGCAGGGCACACCTAAGCGCCCTTACCCCCATGCCCTTCAGACTTTGCCTTTTTACCTTTGGCTTTCGCCTTGCCCACCTTCTTCTTTTTGTTCAGCCCGGACAGCAAGCCTTTGGCGGCTTCCTGATAGGGCGAAGGATGCAGCGAGGTTTTTCTAAGATGTTTTAATGTTTTAGCTTACTACTCAGAAGCTACGCGCCTAAACTCTAACAATTGCGATGTATGATGTGGTGAAGCACACTCAAACATGTCATATGGCACATATGGAAGTACACACAAATCATTACATTGCAAATGTGGCGAAGTGCGATAAATCACTTGCGATGTTATGAATGGGATCAACTGTCCTTGCTCTTCTCGAACCATTTCATCTTCTCCGTAGCCAAGTCGATCGCAGCCTCATACTTTTTGTCCTTTGTCTTGCTGTCGGTAGTAAGCTTCTGAAACACACCGAACAATTTCTCCATGTGGGCGCTGTGCTTGAAGAGCTGAGTGACAAGTTGCTCGCTGTACTGGACATGCTGAAGCGACACAGCGAGCTTCCTGGCGTCAACGCCTTCCTTCAACACATCGTCCATCAAGGCTTGCGCTCTCCTGAGTTTGGTCACAGGTCAAATGACATAGTCTTGGCTGGGTCCAGCTAAAGAAGAAAGACGGCGCCCGTTTTGGGGGGGCATAGAAAAACCTATATCAAACCTTGGTCAACTTAAGAGCCACCTGTGGCTACCTGGTACACTTGAAGAATGGGGTCTGGTTGGGATGTCGTCCAAAAAGGATATCATAAGATTTCAATTAATAGAGTCTGAGTCTAAGTCTCTCCTTCGAGGTGGCAGGCTTCAGCTCCTCGGTCTTCTCTTTGGGTTTCTTGGGCGCTTTGGTCTTTGTCACTGAGCCTGCCAGCGCTTCGCGCATGGATTTCATACCCTCCTCATTGCCCATCTCCAAGGCCGGCATACACCCAGCTTGCAGGATGCCGTCGCTGGCAGTCAGGTTATCGATGAGTTCAACGTTCTCTGGGCCTTTGGATTCCCCCCTCAAAGTCATCTTCTCAGATGTGAGATCTCGACGCACAAACTTTTTCCCGGTAGCTGGGTAGTACCAGATTTCCTTCAGGGTCCCAAGGCTTGACTTTAAAGTTGTCTCATAAAAGTGCACCCTGAAACAGTTAACTCATTTGAGGTTACCGCGTAACTCATTTGTGGTCACCTCCAAACGATTAGTTATATGAACTAACTCTTTGGGCCCATGGTCCTCTTCATCATTTGGCCAATCTTCATCCCAAGACCAAAGTCCCTTCTCTCGCAACTTCTTAATGTAGCTGGGTACTTTGTCGGGCGTGACATACTTTGGGGCCAAATCTCTTGCTTTCACTCCAATACGCCCAGACTTGGCTTCAACATCCCTTTGAACTGTTCGTTCAACGATGACTGCCACCCTTAGGAATGAACGGTTGGTGGGGTGGGATCCAAAGAAGAAGGACAAGGACATTAACGCATGAAATCGTGAAGTGTTCAAATCAAATAAGGACCCTGCTGTTCCAAGTCATTGTTGTTTTCCAGCCACAATCGAAAAAGGTCGAGCTTTTTCTTGTCAGCGTAGCTTGCCAGCGACACTGGGAATCGTTTGCGGTCGTTGCATTGACGTGTGAAAGTTGCCCATTCCTTCGGGTGGGAAACACCTTAGCTATAGTCAGCAAATTTGAGTTATAGAACAGTCTTTATGGAAACCCATGCGCCGCAGTCACTAACAGTTTGGTTTAAATGGGACAGGCACTATTTGCTTCGCTGAAGTCTGCGCCGTCTGCGCCTGCTGCTGCTGCCGCCAAAGCTTTTCCTGCCTCCTCCTTGCTCTTGCCCTTCTTCGCTTCCTTCGCCTTCTCCTTTTCTTTCTCCACACGTTCCTTCTCTTTCTTCGCCTTCTCTTTCTCTTTCTGGTTCTGTTTCTCTTTCTCTTTCTCGTCTTCCTCCTCGTCTTCCTCCTCATCTTCCTCCTGAGGATCATCTTCATCGTCAGACTCATTTGAGTCGCTTCCCTCATCCTCATCCACCTCGTCGTCGTCGCCCTCCTCCTCAGAGCTGTGGCCTGCCTCGGCGCCCAGCTGAAGCGTGGTTTCTGAATCATTGTCACTGGGGACTTCGTCACTGCTGGCTTCATCATCCAACAAAGCCTCTATCTCCGGGCTATCATCTCTCTTGCGCTTCTTGCCATCTTTCTTCGGCTTTGTAACTTCCTTTGAACTCTTTTCCTTCTCCTTCTCCTCCCTCCTTGTTTTGCCCTCTCCACCCTCTTTGGGCTTGCTCTCAAACTTCGCAGTCTTGTCAATCTTGTCTGGCTGCTTTCCTGTCACCCGCCTCATGTCGCTGGTCGATGCCACAGTAGAGGAGCTGCGAGCACTCTCTGAGTCTCGACCAGAAGGCTTGCGCAAAGCAGACCTCCGCTGCTCCATTTGCGCTGGCTTGGTTTTAGCCATGGTGTCCCTTCACTGGGCAGGGGGTATCTGCAAATGGGCTGCGGTATATAATTCAAACCATCCTCATGGACTCCAGATACAGTTCACGCCTTTTACACAATTCACACCTTTTCATCACCTCCACACATCATGTTTTACCCATTCACATCACACTGCAAGATTCTTGATTTAAAGTGGGCGGTCGAATTCTACTGCAGTTGGAGGGTCCCTACCATTCACGCCATTTTACGACAATTCACCACTTTCTTACGATTTTTCACCACTGCCAAATTGATGATTTCCCAAAAAAAATATCGACAACGCTGCAGATGCCTTGAAAGCTCTTGATGCTCTTCAAGACCAGTCTGGGCATGACCTGGCAACCATGAGTGCTTAGCTTCATTTGTTCTGCCGTATTGGGATAGCTGAAGTGGGAAGATTCATGAAAAGGACCACTTAGCTTCACTTGTCGTGCGATGTCGCTTGGGTTGGGTGAAGTGGAATGAAGCTAACCCTGACAGCAAACACTTGTCCACAGCAATTCACTTTTGCCCGCGTGATTATTGCACCTGGCGCCGCCTAATGCCATGTTTAGGAACATGACGCGACAGCTCACTGAATTACTATGTTTCCTAAAAGGACCGTGTTTTTTCACACGGGCTTGACCACACGTCCCCACACACACCGTTGTTGTTTTATGTTGCTTTATACCACATTGTTATACACTGTGCGCTTGAACAAACTCCAGTGGTATGTGCTTGTACGGAAAGGTCAGCTTAAGTATTCAAACACTGGCTGAAGATCCGCCATTTCAATCCATTTGGTCAAAGAACTGGATCTCTTCCGGGATGCTGGCTGAGGCTGCTTCTTCAAGAAGGTCTTCGCTGCTTTCTTCACATCCTGCGTGTGCCTGGTTCTAAGTTTTGCCAGGGCACGGCCGAACCTGAGCGTGTGGGGTGGTGGATTGGGAATGTATATATATATATATATCGTATATTTATATAACTATATATATATATATATATGTATAAAGATTTGGCAACAACCCTGACTCAGAGTCAGAGGGCAACATTTGCTAATCAAAGGGAAAAAGCTGTATTGGATAAGCCTGCGAAGATTTCAGTTGAGCAGATCCCTTTATGCGGGCTTTCCCTTTCCCATCAATGTACTTCTCAACCAACTCGCTCTTCTCATGGATCGGCACCCGGAGCGGTTTGAAGCGGTCAAGGTTGTCGAGAATGTCACCATGTCCTGCCGATTTTGTTGGTGACGCGCAAATCAAACAAAGTTGAAACAACCCTGTGTGGACCCATTGGCGTGTTAGGCCAACCTGAGTCAGACTCGTGCCTCAATTCCAAAACGCTTCCACCAGAAACCCTTTTCGTGGATACCAATATCAATATTTTTGCAAACCAGCACAACCAAGAACACGCCCTCCACAGATGCGATGATTTGAAACTCTCAAGTCGAAAGACTTCCAAAGAACAAACCCAGAATGTTTTTGGTTCCCCCAAACTAAGCCTGTTGGGATTGGGCCACTCATCGGTCCTGTATACAGCCAAGTTGGTTTCTGCGAAGGCGCACCATAGTCTCCCATCCGAATATGTTTCCTGGAAACCTTGATGAGGCTCAAAACATGCTGGATGAGGGGGTGATATTGGAACAAGGACCCTTTGGGTTGCTCCAACACCCAGAACAACCCCCCGTGCTGCCGCCAAAAGAATCAAGATGGCGCAGCGTGCGGCCATGATGGATCCGGTTCTGCAGGAACCTTTGCCAGATCCAAGTGGTCTGGCTCTGCTGCGCAGGGTGCTTCCTCTACTCCTGAGCGGTCGATATGGGCATAGTTGTTGGTTTCATACTTTACTGAACCATACTATAAATCAAAACCCATACGCAAACCCCAAAAGGTCATAAACGCAAAGCTACAGGATCATGAACACCCAAGTCGAACAGACTGGTGCCAGAGTGAGGCCTCCTGCCCTCTTGGTGTTGAGAACTGCAAAAATGGCAAGGGCATACCCCTGAGGTGACATGATGTCCATGAACTCCCTGTTGTACTCGATGTCGTACGCAAAGACAGATCTGCCTTCCTCCAAAGAGAAGCGCAAAGGACATACAAGCGGTGTCAAGTAAAAAACATACATGTGAGGGGTGGCCTGAAATAGCTTTTTTGTTGCTACTACAGGGCTAATTGAGGCCACCCTGAAATTGGTTTGCGCTTCCACTCATATTGAAACTCTTATCGCAGCCCCTTCATTTCTTTATTTGGTTGGACCCTCCATCCCAAGCCTGAAGTTCGCCGCGGGTGACCGAGCCACAGCCGGAGAACAATTCTGTGTGGTCCTTCGGATCCATCCAATTCAGGTTCGGCATGCTGTAAACCAAAGCAGCAAGCATGGCCGCAGCCTTGGATGGCTTTGGACAAGCTGGCGGAGGGCCCCTGCCATCTTGGAAACCACCGGAAATATAAGCGACCGCACGTTTAAGAGGTGGCCTGGAAAGGTGACATCCAAAAAAGGTGTTCCTTTGGTTTCTAAACACAAGGGCTATTGAACCTGAACCTTTTCCTGTACCAGTGGATTGAAGTGACTGAATTAAAGCACATGAGAAACCCGCATTCATTTCAATAAGAAACCATAGGGGCTCCAATCCTTCGCAGTCCTTGGAGAGTGAAAGACCGCTCTTTGTTCTTGGCCGAGTTCGATGGGTCCGCTCGGAAGCATTCTGGGACCCTCCTCGCGTCAGCCATGCGCTGATGCTTAGACCCTGAGCTCTTTGGCTTTCCCATGAGTTCGACGGCGAACAGCACTTGCCAGCCAAAATCACTTTAGGCCATGCAAACAGTTTGTTAGCAAGTCTGCAAACCCTGCAGGCTACAAGATCCAGAAAACCTTGAATCGCAATGCTCGTAAGTCTTATGTTTATGTCACACCCAGCTATTTGTATATGCATATAGACTTTTCCCACAAAGTTCAAAAGCACACCTGGATTCTTCCCGGGCAAACACTGTGCCAGCTGGACCTTAAGGTGAAGATGCTGGTGGCCACAAAGCCTGCGACGATTGGAAGGAGCCCGGGGTCCGGGTTTGACAGGTTTGAACGGTTTGGCAGAGCGCCTTCTCCACGTCGCTTTCAAGCCATCGAAGGCACATTCGCGATCATGGGTTGGTAGATCAAACTCAAAAGCTGTTGAGAGTCAAATGACATTTTCGCTCCATTCGATACAGCATGCAAGTTCATGGGGGCCATTTTACAATTCTGCATGCATGTTGTTTGGAACTCTCATCCAATGGGCTCTTTCAAACCTCTCATCAAAGCTGGCGGCCGGGTTGCAGAGAACAAGGGAAGCTTTAAAGGTTTCTGAGGTTAGATCTTGGTCTATAAGTAACATCGGTGAGACTTGAACTTCTCTGTTTCAACCTTTCCTGCATGTTTTGATTTTTGTAAGAGTGGCGTGCAAAATGACAGCGCTGGCAACTCGAAGGGCCAGCTTGTTCTGGGCCAGCTTCACAGACAGGCTTCAGGGGCATCGATGCACAGCACACGACTGCACACAACCGCGCGCGCAAGTTCTTTAGAAACAGTCTACCATGAGAGAACCCTTGACACAGGCAAAGTCTGTCGTGGTGGTGTGTTGTCATGACTCATTGGCTCAACATGGCTCAAGTGCAAAAAAATATGTGATAAGCAGACTGTTTTTTAGCTCTGCCTTGCGCTGCTTTACACCTTAAGGAATTGGCTATACCCCATCTGAACCACAACCACCTCCACTCGAAACAGACCCCTTCAAACTTGTAAGTGCGCTGAACACATGTGAATAAGGCAGAGGTGATCGTGCCGGCAGACCCCAGCAATCCAACATAGGTGCGTTCAGCCTAAGATCTCAAAAGCCGCTCCGACGGACCGCTTCTGTCCATGCAGCCTGTGGCCCTCCAAGCTTTGCCCAGGACACTTGTCCAATCGGACCATCTGCTGTATCACTGCAACGTTTGACAAAAAAGGCTTTGTGCCGTAAAAGTACTTCGATTCTGGCTGAGGTGCTTGGGGAATATAGAGTGTATGAATGGTGCCCGGAATTTTCCTTGGCACTGTCAGGATACGCTGCCTTAGGCACCTTCAGTTCCACAAGATCATAATCTCTATACTTCGTGGGCGACCCATCCTTTGGACTGGCGCCCTTCTTCAAACCCACCTTCGGACGCGCCACCTTGAAGGTCGCCTTCCCGTTGGTCCCCTTCTTTTCCTTGTGCTTCTTCCGGGAAGCATCCTGCACAAATGGAGACGGGATAAAGAACAATGACATATTCATTGGCAAGCATTGCACACAGGAAGCCAACACTAAACACAGAGAGTCCCTGCGTCTCAAAGTTGGCATGAAAAAACGTTGATTGAACACAAAAAAGTTGAGCGGTTGCTCACATTTGAAGACAGACCCCAACGCTTGCCTCACGCTCCAAAGCTTTCACTGGCGTAGTCAGCTCTGGGGTCTCCACAAACAATGGCCTTTTGCACCGCGGTGTCCTCATGACTGTCTTGTCCTCGACGGGAGCCTTCCTCTCAGGCTTGACGTGCGATTGGCAAACAGAAACGAAAGATGCTTTCGCATCAGGGTCCAAGGCAAGCTTGCATGCCTCGCAGTCCTTACCCCTGCAAAACCGTTCCATGCCGAAGCGGCCGCATGGGGGCATGTCCTCGGCCTTGTCGGCGTTGGAGAATAGTTCCTGAGACAAGGGAACAATGTTCAAAAAGATCGAACGTTCAATGTTCAACAACTGCAGCTGTGAGAGCTCAAAATTCCACATGCTGCCCAATCACTGAATCTGATTCTGAACCTCGTTCGGCAACATCAGACATCGCGCCAGCCTCTGAGAAAAGTTCAGCCCAATGAGCTTCAATGTCTGGAGTTGGAGGTAATGAAACGTTCAAACATTTGCTGCAACCTTGGCATTCTTTGTACCCAGATGGAATGCATGTGTAGGTGAGGCCATTGCGAACTTCTGTCCACCGTTCAGTACCATGCCACCGAGGGTCCACGCCAGAAGATTGTGAAGCCAAGAGATCATCAACCTGCTGAGAGAAGCAGTCATCCTCCTCCTTGCCGGGCTCCACAGTATCAGCATCAGCTGATGAACTGCCGGAGGGCTGCGGCCCATCAGTTTGGGGTTGCTTTCCAAACTTCGGAACCACAAAGCGTTGCCAGTAGGCTTTGCGTTTTGCCAGTGCCGGGTCTTCTGGCTCTTGTGGAGCCTCTTCCTCAGGGCTGACTGACGATGACTCAAGCAGCATCTCAACATCTGAATCCTCAGGACCATCTGCGACCGGAGCGGGCGCAGCATCAGCGTCTTCACCATCAGGGTCATCACCAATCGGAGCTGGCTCGTCGCTGCTCTCAGCAGCAAACTCCTCACCATCCTCAACAGCCGAGGCAGGCGGACGCTGTTTGGGGCTCCTCTCAAGGAATTCCTTCAACTCCAGGACCGCAGGGTCATGGGAGTTCACGCCTCAGCTGACAAGTTTGTGAAGAGAAAACATGTTTAACAAATGAAAGCCTCTACCACGCTTGGGAAGTCTTTAGCAGAGAGGCTCCTGGATTCTGACCTACTATTGGTTCGCTCAAGAAGTCCATTGTGCAAAAGAGGCACTGTTTCGAAAAAGGTGTCGAATAGATCCCATAAGCTTCTTCATGCGCTTCGCCTCACGAAGGGCGGCTTCGCCTTTGGTTTCCCCCCCGATTGGGGATCAGCAGCAAATGCTCTAGCATCTTGTCGAGCTTCATCAGCGCATCGCCCATCAGGAAAGTGCTAGGCACCTCCAGCTGACCAAGTTACAGATACACAGAATGTTCTGCTCAACATGTTGACCAATCTGAAAGCTTTGGAGAATCTGTTTGACCAATCTGAGAGCTTTGGAAAACCTTGGCATTCAAGTGGAATGGAAAAAGACTTGCCACGCCTTGCATGGAAAAGACTTGCAAAGTGGCTTCATCCATATGAAATTGGTCGACAATTCCTGCAGCACGCGGGACTCAAACATTCTTCAAAAACAAATTGAACTCCAAGATCACACTCAGTTCATCGAACCAATCTATTCTCACGTGACAACGCTACCAACTGTCCTTCGCAGTTGGCCTGCCATATTCCTCTGTCAGTTTGACCAAGGCAGCACCAGAAGCCAATCGCTTGTTTCGAACCAAGTCCAAAGCAATGTTTGGCATTTCGTCCTTCCAAAGCTGAGCTAGATTGTCCTGGGCTGGTTGTCCCACCACACCCTCTTGGTTCAAAACACAACCCAAAACCCAAACCACCACCACCAAAAAACGGTTGTGCGTAAATGAAGTTTCCACATCCTGCTCAGTCCAGCCAATGCGTCCTGGACCTGAAACACAAAAAAGAGATGGATAGAATGTCATGCCTCAAAATCGAGACAAGACTCAAGATTGGATCAGCTGTGACCTGTCGCTGCTGACTAGTGTTTGCAGCTTGGACACGCAAAGACTTCCAAGGGCCCGCGTGTACCAGATCCATGATGGCACACAGCACAAAGTACGCACGCGCGCTCACACCCAGCCAGAATGGTCTGCACCAAACAAAGGACGCGCGACATGTGACACCATGACTCTTTGTCTGCGAAGGAGCTGCAGCTCCACAAGCGAGACGCCAAAGGGCGCTGACCGAAAGATTGGTGGAAACCAGCGCTCGTGGGATGAGTTTTTTTGACTGTGGGCGTGCCTACGCATTGTGGTGTTTAGAGCTTTGCAGCAAAGAAGGTTTGTGCAACCATCCCCTTTATAACAATAGACACGCCCAAAGTCGCAGCTCGGGCCGGTGGACCTCCAGTTTTTTTTTGAAGACATGGTTGGGCTATCCTGGGAATTTGTGCGCTTCTTTTTCCCCTCATGATTGTAAAGTACACACAAGAAGCACACACCTCTTAAAAAAAGGAGGCTGTATAGCCATCATGCACCTGCAAACATCGAAACTCACTTGCCCAAAAAAAACGGGCCTCCAAGTTATTTACATAAAACAACACAAAAGAAACATATGGCGGAAGTTTCAAAAGATAAACTATACTTTCTCAAGCGTTTTGGCGCTCATGCTGTTCAAATATAAACTCTCCTGCTGTAGAAGCATCAGCTGTGAAGTCAATACAGGACCCCTCAGGCTGACATTGCTGAAACTTGGCGCTTTGGTACAGCGGAGCTGAAACTTCTTTGGGTGGGAGGGATGGGCACCGATGGTCATAGCAATATGGCATAGACAGAGCTAAAGCCAACAAACGGCACACGCAGCTGTCTTTTGTATTGAAGGCGTCCTTAGGACAACTTTGGATTCTAACGGTGGCTACTTCATCCAAGTCTGCGTAGCCATCTTCGTCAACCTCAAGTCCCAGGTATTGGTC